AGGGATAGCAAAAGCCGTGCACACAAGCAAAGTGAAATGAGGAATCCATTCACTACTTCCCATTGCCAGGCACGTGTTCAGCCAAACCCAGAAAAGCAGGGCTTCATCACATTATTGGTTATTTGGGAGGACAGACAGTGTAACTCTGAACGTCCTCACTTACTTCTTCATCCCCCAGGTTTATGTTGCTGAGCACAACTTTACATGGTCTGGAACATCCCCTTGGTCAGTTGGGATCAGGTGTCCCTGCTCGGTCCCATCCCAGCTTCATGTGTACCCTCAGCCCCCTCACTGGTGGGTGAGGTGAGGAGCTGAAAAGGCCTTGACTGTGTGTAAGCACTGCTCAGCAATAATGGAAACATCCATGTGTCATCAGCACAAATCCAAACCATAGCCCCATACCAACTGCTGTGAGGAAGACTAACATTCCAACCAAATCCAGCACACGAATGCTGCAGGTTAACAGCAATCTTCAGTTGTGTGAAACAGTACCTACCTCATGTTTGTTTTGGAAACTGCTGCCTTTATTATTACTGTAATATGTTTAGAGACCACCAACTGAAATTAAGAGGCTGACAGAAATAGTGTTCTGTGTACCTTCTCCTCATGATTTGTGACTTTATAAATGGCTTGCGTCCAGTTGTTTCCTCTTGCAGGCTTTTGAGAAGTACAGTCATTGTTTTTTACTAAGGATGGCAGTGTTTTCTATCGCTATTTGAGAGTTAAGGGGTGTGCTTTTCCTTAAGACATGTTCTAGTTTAGCCTTAGCTGCAGCCCTGAATTATTTAATTTAGGAGAGCTCCAGGGCTTTGTTGTTCGGGAAATAGACCAAATAATTTTAAGTGATCCCTTCTGATCTTTGGAGCCCAAGTGGCAGTGTTGATGGCAGTGACTGCACTATTAAATCATACCGATATTTTCTCAAAAGAAACAGCAGCTACTGTGTTTCACCACTGCTGACTCGTCAAAGTTGATGTTTCCTATGTTGTGATTGCTGCGCTGTGATTGACGCCTGCTGAATCAGGACAGTACAGTTCGTGAAGAGAAATGATTATCAGGCGTAACTGTGTACTAATAAGGTTTTTAGGAGTTTGATGCGTTCCCTGTATCTCTCTGAGATTGAAAGCAGGGGAGCTGGTTTGGAATCAGACATCAGTTTGACTGTGCTGACTCTGCCTTCGTCTTGCAGGAGTGGGTGGGTGAGCGATGTCTGAAGTCCCTCTGTGAAGACAGCAATGACTTGCAGGATCCTGTCCTGAGCAGCACACAGGCCCAGAGGCTGATGCAGCTCATTTGTTATCCACACCGGCTGCTGGACAACGAGGAAGGAGAAAATCCTCAGCGGCAGAGGATTAAACGCATCTTACAGGTGCAGACTCCTGGCAGAACCTAAGAGTGTCTTATTAATTGCCCAGTGTAGCGTTATAGTGGGGTTGTCCAAAAGGGGTCTCGCTCCTGATCAGAGCTGAGGGTGTGGGTTGATGCAGTTTGACCTGAGTTAAGGACTCATATGAAGTATGCGTGCGTGTGTTGCAGAATCTCGACCAGTGGACCATGAGGCAGTCGTCGCTGGAGCTGCAGCTCATGATTAAGCAGACAGCAAACAATGTGAGTTTCTGCTCAGAGGGACCCTACAGGGTTTGTTGTTGCCAGTGTTGAAATGACTGCTTGTGAGGTGGTGGGGAGGCGGCCTAGCCGAGGTGGGAAGAGGGGAAAAAGTAAACAAGGAGGGAGTCAGGCCTGTGAAAGCTGAGCATGAGAAGGATGAGATGAGTCTGAGACCTGAAGAGCAGCAGCCATGGGGAAGTTGACAAACTGGGTTTGTACCGAGCTGTGTTGAAATGTGCAGGCTCTGTCAGTGGCTGCTCTCAGAGAAGGACTTGGCTGTTTTTTCTTCTCTACCTCTAGGAGATGAACTCCTTGTTAGAAAATATAGCAAAGGCCACCATTGAGGTATTCCAGCAATCAGCAGAGACCAGCTCTACTGGCAATGGAGTCAACAATATCAGTAGCTCAGCAAGTACTACACCTGCCAGCAACAAATCCAAACCCATCCTCAGGTAGGTGTGGTCCCAGCATGCCTGGTAGACAAGTCTGAATCATAGGTTGGATTGCAAACTGCTTTTCTCTCCTGTGTTGTCACAGCTCCCTGGAGAGATCAGGAGTGTGGCTGGTGGCCCCTCTGATTGCCAAGCTTCCAACGTCAGTACAGGGCCATGTGCTGAAAGCTGCTGGAGAAGAACTGGAGAAAGGACAGCATCTGGGGTCATCATCCCGCAAAGAGCGGGACCGCCAGAAGCAGAAGAGGTGAGTCCTGGGGACAGGGCAGGCAATGCTGCTTGTGTTGACCCCCCCGCCTGGCAGTATAGCTCTGTCTCTGTTCTCTCTGCAGCATGTCCCTCCTGAGCCAGCAGCCATTTCTGTCACTGGTGCTAACATGCTTGAAAGGACAGGATGAGCAGCGGGAAGGCCTCCTCACCTCTCTGTACAGTCAGGTCCAGCAGGTAGGTGCCTTGCTTCTCCCCTCACTTTTCCAGCAGGCTCAAGGGCTCGCTTCTCCAGCAGGCAGGCTATTGGGCATGTCCTTGGGCGTGTTGTCTGGTCCATAAGGCAAACATCTTACTCTGGTTGGTATAGGGTGCTCGAGCTGATCGTCTCTGAGTCACTGGACAGTACAAGCTGCTCTCTATAAACTTGAGTGTACAACTTGTAAGGTCTGCCCTCTCTTCTAAACTTCTTAGATTGTTACGAATTGGCGAGAAGATCAGTACCAAGATGACTGCAAAGCGAAGCAGCTGATGCATGAGGCCCTGAAGCTACGGCTGAACTTGGTGAGCAGTTGCAGAAAAAAGAGCTTAACCATATGGGGTGAAGAGTTGTCTGCCTTTTTACCTTTTTTTGGAACACGCATGCACTGGAGAGGCTATGTATGTCCTGAGGCAAGGAAGTAGGAGAGGCACTTGTGCTTCTTCTAGGTCTTGAGCCCTGAGTGGGATGGGGTTCATGGAAAAACTCCCTTGCTCTATTTTGCAAGGATTAAATCCACAGTTTTGATCTCGATCTTGGAGATTTGCCTTACCATTTCAATTCTTTTGCAGTCCACGGCACTACTACTTGCACCTGAGGTTTGTCCTGCTGACTAGAGTCTCCTTCAGCTCTCAGTAGGACTTGTTGTAGTACAGAAGTTGCTCTCATTTAGGCTCCTTTCCCACTTAAATATTAGTGTTTCTTTGTGATGTCCTTGCAAGTAAACTATTTTTCTCTTCCAGGTGGGGGGAATGTTTGACACAGTTCAACGCAGTACACAGCAGACGACTGAATGGGCTGTGCTTCTTCTGGACATCATCAGCAGTGGCACCGTGGACATGCAGTCAAACAAGTAACTTTCTGTCTGACTTCTGATCCATACGCTTACCAAGGGAGGCAGTGGTTAGCATGACCCCTTTTCTCATGTGAGCTAGCCGTCTCTAGGCGATCTGTCAGAAGTACAGTGACAGCCAAAAGAGACTTCAGAGTAATAGCAGGCTACAGCTGAGGTCCTAGCATCCAGGTGCACTCTGGCATATCCAGAGCAAACTTGGTTTTCCAGATGCAAAGAGATAGGCAGGGGAGAGCTGAGCCTGGTCCTGCTTTTTTGAGAAGCTGAATGGGTAGACAGGAGGCCAGTCTTAATCTGTGATACTGCACTTCACTCAAGCGTAAACACCCTCTGGTGTTCACAACAAAAGAGGGATTAGTGTGGGAGGTTAGTCTGAAGAGTGCTTGGCACTTCTGACGGTAGACTACTCTGGGCCATCTCATAATGTTTGGTGTTACTATGATGCCAGAGGCTTTATATCTGCTTCTCAGGTGACTTTGACCTTTCTGCTCTGACCAACAGTGAGCTCTTCACTACCGTGTTGGACATGCTGAGTGTTCTCATCAACGGCACCCTGGCTGCTGATATGTCCAGTATTTCTCAGGGCAGCATGGAGGAGAACAAGCGGGCGTACATGAATCTTGTCAAGAAACTCAGGGTGAGGGACACCAGGCCCTGTATGGGGAACAGTATGTGCTGTGTTGTGGTTGTCCAACTATGCAGATTGACCTGTGTCTCATGAATGGTACTTGTCCTGTTGCTGCTGTTTAGATGAAGCAATGAGGGTGGTCCCAATGGCTCTGTAGAGCTGAAGGGTGCAAAGGTGAGAGGTAATGCAGGGGTGGAGGTCGATACCAGAAGAGGCAGAGGTGGGCTTTGAATTATTTTTCCTGAGTGATTCTTCAAGTCTTCTCTATTCCACTTGTGCAGAAAGAGCTGGGGGACCGGCAATCTGACAGCCTGGAGAAGGTACGACAGCTACTGCCACTTCCCAAGCAGACCCGAGATGTTATCACCTGTGAACCTCAGGGATCCCTCATTGACACCAAAGGCAATAAAATAGCTGGTTTTGACTCCATCTTCAAGAAGGAGGTAAGTGAACTGTTTCTGTCTGCATCATGGCTCCTGAGTGCAGGTGTCACCTTGTCCTCTGATGCCTTGAGTCTGCACAGCTTGGGAGGCATCTGTATGCAGCACCTTGTTCCCTGCTGAGCTTGAAGCGTCTGGCTGCACACAGACAAGCTGGCACATAACCATGTGCAAAAAGGGCAAAGCTGGGTGTTAATGCTCAGCAATACATGCTGCTGTGGCCTGAGAAGTCATTTAAACTTCGGTTTATGCTTTATATGGCAATAAAGACAAAAGAGAAATCCAAAATCCTTGTCAGTGAGTTACTGGGCAGTGTCAGTGTGCAGAAGTCTGGCAGAGATGGGATGAAGGAAACTGGCAGTTGTTGATGAAGGAAAGCATAGATTTTCCTGTACCCTCGTAGGAGAAACAGCAGGGACTTGGAGGTTCTTATTTCTTTTGTTTTAAAGGGTTTGCAAGTCTCTACAAAGCAGAAGATTTCCCCTTGGGATCTGTTTGAGGGCTTAAAGCACTCAGCCCCCCTCTCCTGGGGATGGTTTGGGACAGTCCGGGTAGATCGCAAGGTGTCTAGATTTGAAGAACAGCAGAGGCTTCTTCTGTACCACACACACTTGAAACCCAAGCCCCGTAGTTACTACCTGGAGCCGTTGCCACTGCCCCCTGAAGAGGAAGAGCCTCCTACACCTGTGGCTTTAGAGCCAGAGAAGAAAGCTGCGGAACCAGCCAAGGCTGATAAAACAAGTTCCAATCCTGCCACCTCTACTGAAGAACGCAAGAAGAAACAGAGCAAAACCAAGAAACGCAACCAGTCTGCCAGCAAAACTGAGGTAATTGACTGCCCAACAGCTATGGACCCCCTGTGTCCGTGTGCCTCCTAGTCACAGAGCACTCCCTTGAGTCTTCATGAGGAGCCTACGAGTGGCATAATGGTAAAGATGGGATGTGTTTCCTCTCAGCTGGGAGTGCTGGAGCTCTATGCTGCTCTCTCTAGCCTGGGGCAGAGCAAACACTTTCTTAATCCCCGATGGGAGGGAAGGAGCCTGCCCAGCTCAGATAGCATCCCAAGCTTCCTCCTGTGAACTTTCATTTTCCTCCTAGCAACCCTTTCATACTCTTCATCGATTCTTGAATTCCTAGTGCACATTGATCTTCCTTACTCCCTCTTTGCCTTTGCAGGATTTTGTGTTGGGCCCTAGCCGAGGAGTTTCATATGGAGTTGGTATGCCTACGGATCTCTTGCATCACCAGTCAGGAAGCACTATGTCAAGGCTGGCATATGGGCAGTCACCAGTGGGTCTCTATGCCCAGAATCAGCCTCTTCCAGCAGGTAAGCGCACAGGAGAGATGAGTATATTGCACCTCTTTGAGAACCTCTTGTACGAACTCCTTCTGTGAGATGGTCCTGTGCTTTTCCCTGTTTGCCTGTCATGTCTGGATACAGTGATGAACGGTCATTTGGGAGCACAAGGCTCAGCAATAGGGTGTGACTACTCAGCCTGTTTCTCTTCCTCTTGCAGGTGGCCCTCGGCTGGATACATCCTACAGACCTGTACGCATGCCGCTGGGGAAACTTGTTCAGAGTCGTCCTCCCTATAGTGGTGTGCTGCCTCCAGGGATGGGGAGCATGATGGGTATTGACCCCTCCTACAAGCCAGCAGTGTACAGGCAGCAGCCTCCAGTGTCCCAGGGACAGATACTGAGGCAGCAGCTTCAAGCAAAGTTGGTGAGTCAGAGCTGTGCTCTTACTGCTGCTGGACCCTGCGGTACAACAAGCCCAAGCTGTTTGCTGGGGTTATCCCTTCTAGCCAGAACTCTCCAACCCTGTCTCTGTTTCTGCTCTGGAAAGATGCTGTCTCATGTGTCTTTCTGTTCCTCTGGTGCGGTGCTGTGTTTGCCACCTGCTTTGTGTGCCCATGTCACTACAGCTGGTGGAGGCTGTCAGTGGGATGCACTGAAGCATCTGTGGCTGTTGGGCAGTGAGAGAGGCACATCCTGCCTCTGGGGTGGTAGGGCCTATTTGTCTCATGTCAGGGTGAGACAGAAGTCATTAGCATCTGCATGCTTTGTAGCAGCCTCATAGGTTTAGCAGTGAAGCTACTTGTCTGAAAAGAGAGCAGCAGTGTCCTGCTTGTTGGAGATGTTAAAAGAAATGTTCCTCTGTTGCCTTCCAGCAGGGCCAAGGCATAATGGGCCAGCAGCCCGTGCGCCAGATGGCTCCAACCCCATCCTATGGAGCCCTGCAGCCCTCCCAGGTAAGTGGCAGTGACAGCAGGTAGGACTGGAATCTGGCTCCAGCACAGGGCAGCATCTTCATTTCTGCTGCTAAATCCTGAAATCTCTTGGCTCTTCTCACTTGTTTATTGGGCAGCATGAATCTGAATCCCAGGGATGAGCAGCCTTGCAACAGTGTTTGCAGGAGGCTGATATCCTGTGTTCCAAATTTTTTGTACCTTACCCCATGACTGATAAAGGCTTTTTGTTTCATTTCAGGGTTACACACCTTACGTCTCCCACATAGGCCTTCAGCAGCATCCCTCCCAATCAGGCACGATGGTACCTCCTACCTATTCTGGCCAGCCCTATCAGAATTCCCACCCCAGCTCTAATCCTGCCCTGGTGGATCCTGTTAGACAGATGCAGCAGAGACCAAGTGGCTACGTACACCAGCAGGCCCCTGGCTATGGTCACACTTTGGGCAACACACAGAGGTACCTCCCACGCTACTGAATGTTCATAAGCTGTATTTCATCAAGGGCTTCCCTGCTTTGCTCAGACTGCCCTAACAGCAGTCTGTGAAAACCCTGTTCTCCATGCTGTGTTATACAGTGTCTGAGTCCTTCACACACTCAGGGGAATATCTTTGTCCAGATTTTGACCCTGGGAGGAAACTGAGAGGCAGGATGAAATTGGGGGAGGCTAGTTGGAAGCAGGAGACAGCATTACCAGCCAGGGAAAGGTGGAATTGGGAAGTATGAGAAGAATTACCTGGGAGAGTCATAGTTTTGGTTTTAAATCTAACCAGCAGATCACCAACAAAGGGCCAGATATGGGATTTCCACTGCTTCTGAGCAGGCATAAATCCAGCAGGGAAACCATGCAGAAACAGTGGACCAAGTTACTTTAGGTCTTCTAGGGAAAACAGGTTGGTTGAAAACCTTGAGAGGCCCTGGTGTCCCTCACCTTTCTGCAGAGGGGCAGCATGGATTGCAAGGGGCTGTTGGGGCTGTGTCTCCTGTCCATGGCAGAAGTCAGGTTTGGATTAAAGAAGCTGGCTGCCCATTAATGTTTTACTCCATGAGCTTGTCCTTTTTCTCTTGCAGGTTTCCTCACCAGTCGATACAACAGGCCCCCATGATAAGTGGGATGAACCATTTGGGTCCACAAGGAGTGCCCACAGGAATCCGACCCAGCCAGATACTGCCTGACCAGCAGCAGCAGCAGTACCTGAGGCAGCAGCAGCAACAGCAGCAGCAGATGCTGAGGGTGAGTGGTTGCTGATGGGAGGAAAGCTGCTGGAGCTGGAGGAGGCTTGCCCAGCACTGCTTACCTCTTTGTCAGCAACGCTCTGCTCAGCCCCTCTGTGCCAGGAAGGATGTTAACTCTTGGGGGCTGTCTGCAATAATTCGCTAGACGGTTCTCCCTTCCTTAGAGTTGGCCACTCGCAATGGAGACACCTGCTATGCTGCCTTTTTCTAGTCACCCAGCATGAGCTAAAGGGAAGTTAGGAGCAGTAAAGGTCTGTTTAGTCCTCTGTGGCCTCACTTCACCTCTTCCTGCTCCAGCTGAGCTGGTAAGAGTGAGCAGAAAGCTTGCTGTCTTACGAGTGTTGCAGGAGCTGGAAACGAAGTGAAAATCCCCCTGCCCACACAAGGGCAGGTAGAGTTGTTCCTTACAAGATCATTTTTAGGGGCATATCTGCATTTTCACAGGATCAAGATAAGCGTTGGTTGCTGTTTCCCATGGCAGGAGATCTGGTGTGAGTCAGTCCATGTACTCCACATTTAACAGTGGATGGTGAAAAGCTGATCCAAAGGAAGCTGTTAGATCCAGCTCTCCAGGTTCGAAGAAGTTCAGGCGTGTGAAAACGGACACAAATATTCCATGGATTTGCATTACAGTCTTATGAATATTAAATACTTGCATACAGCTATAAATATGTTTCTTGGAGCTGCAGAAATATACTGAATTGACAGAGAAACACAGAAGTAGTTTAGATTAATTGGTGAATTGCATACCTTCTGACAAGCTCTAGCAAACCTGTAGAATATGGAGAGACTTCACATGGCATAGAGTGCTGAGGCTTTGTGTTCGGAGAGGGGCCTGAGTGAGACACTGGTTCCAGCAGAGAGCTGCAGTCAGCAGGATTTGAGAATTGCTGCCTTGCACTGGACGAGAGACTACCTGAAGCATAAGTCAGCAGATTTTAGGCCTGACTATTCACTTGGTTTCTTTTCACGTTGTCCATCACTCATATTTAGAAAAAGAACATGCCTCAGACAAACTGCTAGTACTTCTAGCTCAGTGACTTCATGTATACCTTCAGCTTTTAGCTGACATTTCTTTGTTGCTTAAAACTTTTTAAGTGGAGTACTCAGAATCTCCCGTTACTGTGACTCCTCCTGCATTCTCAGAAGCAGACCAGATGCAGAACAGACTCCTGGAGCTTGAGCTGACCATCACAGTGCAGTGGCTTGTAGAAAGGACAGATGGCCTCTTGGTTTGTCTTGCATGGGTTGGTAGTCAGCTGTTGCAAGAAAGTAAGACTTGAAATCAGGAGTATCCTGGCTCTTTTAGCCGGTCATCTGCTTGCTTGTGTACCCAGGTTGTAGCATCCATTTCAAGAACCTAAGTGGCCAGACTGGTTTGAGATTTAAGAGGCTATTCTAGAAACTCACTCCCTTTGAGTTGAATCCTTGATGTGTCTGTGACTCGTTCTTGTACCCAGTTATTACTTTCCACTGTGTGCTGTTGTTTACTGGCTCTTCTTCCTCTCTGAAGTTTACCCGCTGTATTCCTGGAGAGTGCTCGCAGGTTCCATAGGTCAGGTTTTTCTAACCTCCTCCCATAAGATACTGTCCCTTCTCCTGAGTGTATTTTTGGCTGTTTTCTGAGTCTGTTCAGGGTTTGAACCCTTATCCTTTTGAGCCAGATTGGAACTGTACAGCACAGTGTACACAACATGTGCATGTTGAGTTTTTCAATGTTAGCATTAGTATTTTTCTATTTCTGCTAGAAGTTCTGTTGATCTAGAGAGTTCAAAGATGAGAGAAATATCTGAAAATCAGAAAAAATGAAAAAAACTTGATCTTTGGGTATATTCTGACTCCAAGTCAACACGCTGAATATTCTTTTCACTGTAACTACTCCTGTCAACATCTAGGTTGGAGCCCTGCATCCAGTTTTAGCTGCATCCTTTTACTGAAGTGCAGCACCAGCTGGCATAAGTGGCAGAGAAGGGCAGCAAGACGGATCAAAGAGCTGGGGAATGTAACTGAGAAGAAAAGGCTGAAATCGCTGGACATCAAGTTGGGCAGAGACAAAAGGAGAGAGGAGTCTCCGTTTTTTTTGTCTTCTAAAGAAGCCAAAAAACCCCTTATCTGTTCTTGTCCCGTGGCTGTAGGACAAGAAATGTCCTTAAATCATAACATATGAGATTCAGGGTAGAGAAAACTCCAGTAGTAGGAGTAACTGTGACCTGGAGGGGATTGTGTAGGGAGGTTATAGGAGCTCTGCTGCTACCTCTGGAAAATTTTTGAGAACAGGTCAGGCAAATACTCAGTGAAGCCATTATTGCTGATCTTAACCAGGAGGCAAGAGTTGAACCAGCTGACCTCCTTGAGGTAGCTGTTGGTTGTTTTCTATTCTTGTATCTTGTTTGCTCCTAGTCATTCCCCAGCTGACCAGGAGACTGAGTTCTCTTCCTGGCATCTGTCGATACCTCATCTTGCAGAAGAACTTTGTTATTGTCCTTGTATTTCTAGCCATTTCTCAGCCTAGGGCATGGTCCTGGTGAAATCTGGGTAATTTAGGTACCTGTTAGGAAAATGGTGTAAGAGGATATGTTACTGCAGGAACGTCCTTGTTCCATCAGCCCTTCCTGTGCCCTGTTGCTGTCTGCCTTGCCCAGACAGTTCCCTGATGGTCCCTTCTTTTTATCTTCACAGCAACAGCAACAACAGCAGCAACAACAGCAACAACAACAACAGCAGCAGCAGCAACAACAGCAGCAGCAGCAGCCCCAGCCGCCGCAGGCACAGCCGCAGCAGCAGCCCCAGGTCTCCACAGTGCCTCAGCCGCAGGCGCAGGGCCAGCCCCCAGGGCTTGGGATGCAGGCTCTCCCCCCCCAGCAGCCCATTGTGAGTGTTCCCTCGAGACAGAGGAATGTCATAGCCCAGCACAAATCCAGTGGTGCTCCACCTGCATCCCTCCCTTCTCCATCCCCTGTGCTTCTGTGGGCTTGTGTGAATGCCAAGGCTGCCAGCCAGGTGGTGTGGCTGTAACTACGTTTCTCTCTTTGCAGTTCCAGCGCCAGGGCCTTCAGCAGACGCAGCAGCAGCAACAAACAGCTGCTCTGGTTCGACAGCTTCAACAGCAACTTTCCAGTAAGCCTCAGTGTTCTTGATCCTGTCCCTAGTCTCCTCCCACTGTTTCCTATTGCAGGTACCCTGGTGTAGAGAAGCAAGGCCAAGCCAGACTGTCTGAGGCCATAAGTGCTGCTGGCAGGGAGGTGGCATCAGGACTTAACAGCTCCTGGCCCACGGGGCACAGCAGCAGGGCAGGCAGTGCTTGCCAGCTTGTGAGCGACCTTCCTTCTGCTGCCTGCAGAGGGACAAGGGAGCTGAGCCTTTGTTGGAGCTGCGATGCAGCTTTCCCAGAAGGGTCCAGTCTACAGCTTTAAAGCATTCAGAGGTATTTCCTCTGCTGCAGATGACCTCTGAGAGGGGGACAGGGAGGCTGCGATCCTGGGGCACTCACTTGGTAGCCTGGAGAAGAGAAGGTTCTGGGGAGACCTTATTGCAGTCTTCCAGTTCCTACAGGAAAGCTGGGGAGGGACTTTTCACAAGGGCAGGTAGCGATAGAACGAGGTAGAGTGGCTTTAAACTGGAAGAGGGTAGACTTAGACTAGATATGAGGAAGAAATTCTTTACTGTGAGGGTGGTGAGATACTGGCACAGGTTGCCCAGTTGTAGGTGCCCCTTCCCTGGAAGGCCAGGTTGGATGGGGCTTTGAGCAGTCAGATCTGGTGGGAGGTGTCCCTGCCCATGGAACTGAATGATCTCTAAGGTCCCTTCCAACCCAAACCATTCTGTGATCCTATGACCCAGAGATGTTGTGTTCATCTCATGATCAGGGCAAGATTTATTGGAGGCAGGGAGGGTGCTGTGGGAAGCGTTGCCGTGCGCTTGCTGTGTTTGTGGTGTTCTGTGGGCTTCCACGGCTGCCGCCCCAGACAGGGTAATGGCATAGATGGCATTCAGTCTGGCGCTGCATTCCTATAATCTGCATTGAACTGCTGGCTCTGGGGATCCAGAAACAGAACCCAGTGTCTGTGCTGTTCCCTTCTGAATGGCCTGCTGTTTTACTGTCACCTCCCTGGCTGCTTTGCCGTAAAAATGATAGACATGCTATGAAAATATCCAGAAATGGACTGCACAGGTGTTTTTGGAGTGCATTAAGTGTGAGACTGTGCTAGATGTAATAACGTGTGCAGTGAGGGCTTGGAAATTGTGCTTATACTTGTTCCCTGATGGAAAATTCTTAGTCCTTGTGACAAAAAAAAACCACCTCCCTAAACCACAAGTTTTAATGTGCTAAGTTTCCCACTAGCCTGAGTGACAAACTACAAGTCTGTGCAAGGATCCCAGCCAGGATATCCAAGTGTAGGAAGACCTCATAAGAATCTGAATATAGCAGATTAGCCATATTTTTGTATCCTGTCTGTACAGCAAACGGAGCTGTTTTATATGGAACAGATGCGTGGGTCCAATGCAGCCATGTGTCAGCATGCAGCTTCCATGCTCCCTCGTTGGGTTTGCACCAGTTCCACCAGGAACCATCTGGAGTTCTTATTTGTAGTGTCTTGGATGGAGTGGAAAGCAGGACATAAATGAGGAGCAGCTCGTGGGAGGGCAACAAGAATACTTGAGGCCCAGGATAGGCTGTGTTAGGAGGCTCTGGGGGATCTCTGAATGTGCTGTTGTCCAGCAGAGTTGAGAAGGAGAGCAGGTTAGCCAGGTTACGCCGCTCTCTTTTCACTTAGTCGGGATTGGGGTCAAACGTGCTGATGGGATTTCAGGAAAAAAAGCTACAGAATTGTATTGACTGGACGGTACCCAAGTATACTGTGAGCACTGTGCATCACAAAACATCAGTCCCAGCAGTTTGGAAGTTCATTAGAGTCTTGGAAGTTCATTAGGATCTTGAATATAACTGTACCACGTTTCATGCCCGTTTTGTGCCACCTGGAAGTCCGTTGGGTACGTCCTTCGCTGGTACTGCGGCACTGACAGGGAACCAGGATAGTTGACCCTGAAACCTTCACTGATGGGTTTCTGGGTGTGCCTTGGGATGAGTGTTCAGCGCTAGCTGTCTGAGCAGCTTGTATGGCTGCAGGTGTTGTGCAATCTTATAGGGCTGATTTTCTTTCAAAATCGAATAATTCATCCATAAACTCATCCTCCTGGCTAGCTGCCACCTTTCGGGGCTTTGTTATGATGCACCAATCCCACCACAAGGGAGAAGTTTCAGGATCAGGACTGGCACATTTGTGCCTTTTCCTCAAAGAACATGGGGTCCTGACTGTGCTGCTGCCTAAAGGCTCAGACAAATGAGCAGAGAGTGCCATAAAGTTCATATTTTTTGTCTCACAGCCTGCAACACACTCCTCATGCTGTGCTGGTGGTACGGGGAGAGGGATGTCTTTTCTGAACCAGACCTTGTGACTGTCTGCTTCTGTCTTGGCCTCAACAGATACACAGACACAACAGAACAACAACCCGTTTGGACGCTACTGATCTGTGGCACTTCAGCCTGGTCCAGGAGGGAGACATCACTGTGGACTGAATACAGCCTCTTCAGCCTGACCCACAAACTGGGGCTGCCCCCAGCCTCTGTCCTTGGGCCCGTGGCCTCAGTGTTGCTGCTGCCCATCTCGCAGGGAGATGCCAGGAGGATGGTTTTATTGTACAGAGAAAGTGTTTTTACTATCTGATTTCTACAAATGTTTATGGAGATCCTTTGTGGCTGATAGTCTCCCTTCCCACTTTGGTTTCAGTTTTTACTCAGTTTTTAGTATTTTTGTTAAAATAATGATTAAGACATTGTAAAATTTTGTACTTTATTTATACCAGATGAACCCTGTACTGCAGACATTCTCGGATGAATACAGAGAGCTTACTTTGCAAAAGGAATGTGTACTCAGAGCCTGCCTTTCCTCCTCAGCGCTCTTCCCAGTACAGCCCATTAGCACCTCTACACCTTCGGCTTTTGTGAAGAGCTAAACAATTTGGGAAAGAAAGCCCTTCTTCCCTGTCTGTTCGGTAAGCTGGTGCTCACATGCTTGCAAGGGCTTGTGCAAGCTTTGTAGGTTTTCTGTGTTGATGTAGAGCTTTACTAGGAGCCTGTGGCATGTTCACCAGGACATGGTATGGAGCAAAGAGGCCGTTACACTGCAGGGTACGCCCCTGGTCCCAGCCCCAGCAGTTTCTGAGATACTCAGGCTGGTACCTCAGCAGCCTTGGGGGAGCTGCAGACCGAGGGCACTTGCAACACTGCTTCTCACAGCAGTTTTGCTGATAAGCACCAAGGCTCCTGTGCTAGCTCCTTCCTGACAGCCACAGTGCGTTCTCTGGCTGGGTAACACGCAGCATTCTCAACTTTTGACCTGGCTAATGCAGCCTGCCAGCATGGAGTCTTATCTCTCTCTGTAGCAGGCTGCTTTAGCTTAGTGCTTTCCACTCCTGCTGTCTGTTGAACCTGGAAACTGCCGTCGCCTGCACCTTTCTTCTATATTTTTTTTTCTCTTCTCCCTCAGCAGTTTGCTTGTGGACCATTGACCTGTGCTCCCTCTGGTAGCTTTCTTGACCAGTGTCTTCCTTCTGTCCCATCTGTGTGGGGTATGGTGAAGCTCTCAGGGACTTGATCTTAATCTAAAGGCAAATAAACAGTTGTGTAGGGTGGGCCAGTGCAAGAAGGCAAGCTTAGGGAGTGGAGAGGAAGGAGGGATGGTGGGGCTCAGGCTGTGTGGGGGCTATCCATGCCCCTAAGCAGCGCCCCATATGCTGGCTGATGGGCCAAGAACTGGAGCTGAGCCCATTTCTCCCTGGGAAGCAGGCATGTGGCTGATCTCAGGGGCACAGCTGTGTGGGCTGCCTGGCACCACCCCCCGTGCACCCTGCTCATCCCTAAACTGCCCCCTTCACCCCACCCCTGCAGCAGGCTTCTGCTGCATTGGTGCAGGAGAGTTGGAAGGTGGTGGTGGCCAGGTCTGACAGAGATGGACACCCTTGTTAATGAGGATAGACAGATGTGCGTGCAGGACCGCTTCTCCTGTGCATCTCCTCTTGTCCCTTTCCATGATCATCAGGCTGGATGGTCCCTGTCTGGTCCCTCATGCCCCAGGGGAGCCATGGGCTCTGCTGGGTGACCCCAGATGGAGAAGCCCTGCTCACAGCCATGGCTGTGCTCACTGGCCCCTGCTCTGAGGAACCCCTGTGCTCCCCCCACATCCTGCCTGAGGTGTGGGTAGGAAGGGCCCCGAGGCCAGCAGAGGCACAGCCTGGGGGAGCTGGGCATTAGCTCTGGGCAGAAGAAGCCCCTCTTACTGATGTGTGTGGCTGTGGCCGGCAGCCCCCTCCTCTGCTGGGGCTGGGAGGCAGCTGAGCCTATGCCACGCAGCTTCCTGGATGCTGCCTTCTGCATCGCTGCCGCTGTGCTGGAGGTAGGAGGAGGGTGGCTCTCTGCAGCAGAAGGCAGCGCAGCCATGGGCAGCTCTAGGCAGGGGTGCTGCCTGCACAGCAGCTGGGGCAGAGCTGGGGTGCTGCAGCTGGAGGGCACGGAGTTGGGTGCTGACCTCCTGCTTTGTGCTCCTCAGGGTCCCAGGGATCTGGCAAAAGCACCCTAGGGATCACTCTGTCTTGTCCCTCCCTGGCTGTGGGTGCCTGCTGCCAGGGGACCCTGCCTTCCTGCATGGCCCAGCAATAGGGCTGCCCCTGCTCTTCCCTCCCCTAAGAGGCTCCCCCCAGCTGTGCCAGCTGCTTGACAGGCCGGGTCTGTATGGGACAAGCAGGACTTCAGAGCTCCATCATGGTGACAGACCCAGTCTCCAAGACCTCACAGGACCCTCTGGCTGCCCAGAAGTTTTCAGCGGGTTTAGGAGGCTATGGTGGAGCGTGAGAACCTGTCCATGGCATGGGGCACGTTTGGGAAGCTGTGCGCTACCCAGCCTGGCTGTGTGCCTTACAGCCACTGCCGCTGTGCTGCACATTAGTGCTGAGCCATGGTGGTTTTAAGCAAGGCTGACAGCTTCCAGCCCTTCTGCTCCTTCTCCGAAACACAGCTAAACGCTGCTTGTGACAGAGCCAGAGGCAACCAGAGGGGTTTTATTACACCCTGCCCATTGAGTCACACACGTGGCTGTGCTGCTGTGGCCACCGGCCTGGAGTGAGGTGTGTGCATTTGGTTCTGGGCTCCCTGGCCAGCCCGAAGGGGTGCCTGGGCAGGGTCCATGGGCAGCGTGTGCAGGTGATGCTGCACAGTGTGTGCTCAGCGCAGGGAGAGAAGCCCAAGGCTGCACAAGGCTTGGCATGGTGGGCGATGGGTGGGCAGGAGCAGGTTGTGCCCCATAGACCCCCAGGGAGACCTGCTTGCAGCTCTGCCTGTTGCACTGCTCCAGGGACCCTTTCAAGATGCTTCTCAGCACCGATGAACCCTGGTGGGCACAGGGCAGGGTCGTGTGTCCATCTCCTGGGGTGATGGACCATATTGTCTGCTCAAGGCCATACCGAGTGGCCGCGTGTGGCTCACCCTGCATGTAATAGGCCAGCAACAAAATCAGTCGAGCTGCTGTCCACCAGTGAGCAGTCCCTTGCAAAGGGAATGGGGCGGGAGAGCCCCAACCTGCTCTACAACAGCAGTTAGAAGGCACTGGGGCAGGTGAGGCCCAACCTGTGTTGGAGTGCGGGGATGTCCCTGCAGCTGCACGTTCTCTGGCTCAGCGCGTGTGCTGCTGGTGTGCGGAAGAGCCAAAATAAATGCTTGCCCTTCGCACGCTGCTGCGCAAGTATCTTCAACGGGAAGTTGGGGCTGCTCCCTGGAGCCCGGGCAGGGTGTGTGTTGCAGCTCTGGCAGCAGGAGGGAGGCCGAGCCTGGATCAGAAAGCATGGAGGTGTCTGCTGGTAACTGCACGTCCTCCTCTTTGAGCAGGCGTCGTGGCTGACGCTGCCCTGGCTATGGCAGAGAGCTGCAGAGACCAGACACACCCAGCAGGACCCAAATCCATGCCTTGCTTCAAATGATTTCTGTAATCCCATCAGGCAGGACTGAATCAGAGAGGTGGTCCTGCCGTGGGCAGAGGCAGGCTGGAGGAGAGGCTGTGTGTGGGAGGGGAAGGTATCTCCACACTGGGAGTGAGCGTACCAGGAGGAAAGGGCAACAACAGAGGCGCTGGGGCTTTGTTGTACAGCTCTGCTGGGGCCTAATGGGGCTGTGGCTGTTGAGCCCAACGCCTGGTGCATGGCAAGGGGTGGACAGGTGGAAGGGCTGCACTTGGGATGGGACGTTCCATACTGGTACCTGGTGAATCCTTCCCTGAATTAGCTGGGCACTGCTAATGGGAGCAATGGGAGAGGCAGGGGCAGCTCCCCTGGCCGTGGGGAAAGATGCTGGGGCTGGAGGGCATAGGGTGCTCCAGCTGCTGTGGGGTGCACCGGGGCAGCACAGGGCCATGCACGGGGATGGAGGGGGACTCATGCAGAGGGGCTGGCACAGGTACAGGGTGCAGTGGGGCAGGATTCAGGATGCCCAGGGCGGTGCAGGATGCCCAGGGCGGTGCAGGATGCTCAGGGTGGTGCGGGAATGCCCGGTACGGGGTGCCCCAGGGTGTGCTGGTGCCCTGGTCGGGACGGTGGTGATAGCCCCTCCCGGTC